AAGGGAAGGGAAGGGAAGGGAAGGGAAGGGAAGGGAAGGGAAGGGAAGGGACGTAGTCTCCAGCCACCAGCAGAGCAGGGAGGACTGTAAATGTGTTTTCGTACTGGGGACAGCTGGGGTCACTACAGCCACCAGTGCTTTGCTGCCACACCTAGGTAGGGATAGTCGCTCAGCTCCTGCATAGGTGTCCCTGTGGGAATTTTGTTGTCTGGACGGAATGTGGGTGTTCCATGGACTGAGGTTTTCCTGGCTTGGTCCCTGAAGAGGGGACACTCTTGACTGTTCCTCTGGACTCACAGCCTGCTCTCACTGCCAGATTGCAGGGACATGGTACATCACTGCTATGGCCTCTGACTCCGAGAGCTATCTCCAAAATAAGGACCAACTGAAGATGGCGATGGCCAACATTGAGGTCCTGGGGGATGGTGACCTGAAGGTCTCCTTTGCAATTCCCACGTAAGTCCACATGCTTTTCTCCATAGGCTTCACTACCAGCCTCCTCCCTGGACCTTCACTGGTGGGTCTCCACCTCAGTGCACTCACCAAAGACTGGGCAGGGGTTGAGACAGGACCACCAGGGGCTTGGGACAGCTGTGGGCTCCCTGTCTTCAGGGCAGGCTTAGGGCAATGCTAGCTAGGACCAGTGCCATCACAGAGGGTGGGATGGGATCCTACGATTACAACTTTCCCAGCAGAACCAGTCTCATCCCAGAAGCTCAAAGCATGAGTGAGGGCATGTCCCCTGTCCCCTGCCAGCTCACGTGCCCTGTATTCCAAGGGTGGTATCTGTTCCCTCCTGCCCTGGCCACACCATCCCATCTCTGAACAGCAAGTCCCATGTCTGGAATAGTGACCCTTGAACAGGAGAGAGGAAAGGGGGTCACTTCAACTCAGCTGGAGCATCTTTCACTCTTCTGCAGCCCTGGGAGATGCATGAAGTTTGAATCGATCTACAAGCCAACAGGCAGCCTGGGTGAATACTACAGCTCTGGTGAGTGGGGGTGCCTGGGTCTTGGGGCAGGATGGAGGCATGTCCTACCATCCCTGTCTGAAGCAGCTGGCTGTTCCTGGAGACATGGCCCTCAGGACTGCCTGTCCCTCCTCTGTCCTGGGTGGGACATCCTTCTGCCTCCAGGTGCCAGCTGCACCCCAGGGCTGGTGGCTCAGCAGCATGGCAGACCCCCCCCCAATCCCTCCCTCTGGTATAAACACATTCAGAGCAAGCTTAAACCCCAGTGGAATAGTAGGCTCCTTTCGCAAAGAGGCTGTGAGCGGATGTTCCCAAGGATGGAGCAGGAGTGGTTTTCCATCATTCCCAGCACAAGGATCAGTCTGACACTGGCCAACAGCTTGCACTGACCACCCCTTTCTATCCTCACCTCCCCATCCCTCTGCTCTGTTGTGGTCTGTAGGCTCCCCCAGGCTTTCAGAGGGGCCTTAGCAAGAAAGAAAAGCAGGATGGGGAGATACTGAGGAAAGACAGGCTTGATGGGCTTCATGCACTTACAGCCCCTTTGCAGAGTGGGGGTTTCCAGAAGAAGATAATTAATTTTTCACCACGTCCTTTTGCAGACAGAGGCAATAAGACGGTGAGGCTGGTGGATACCGATGGCAGTTCCTACATGGTTGTCTTTGCCACCAGAGAGAAGGATGAGAAGACCTTGCATATGCTGAGACTTTACAGTGCGTATCCAGCAGTGGTGAACTGCTCAGAGGCGTCAGGTGCTTCTGAGGGTCCTGCAAGGCTGGGGAACGGGAGTCTCCCTCTTCACTCCCACCCTGGGTGAGGTGCAGGAGTGGGGCAGGGACCACCAGGTGTTCCCTGTGTGGCAGGGAAGGAGCAGTGGTTTGGGGTGGCTGTGGAGGTTGGGGCTCCGGCTCCCAGCACTGTGCTGCAAGTCCATGGCCTTGGGTAAGTTGCTTGGTGGAGAGGGGTGGAGAGTGGGGTTCTTGCTGCACAGGCAGAACAGAATCAGTGGGGATAGGAATCATGAGAGGAGTCACTGTGCTGGTGTAAGAATCTCTGGCTATCTTGTTCCCTGGGTGGGGTGTCTCGTGCTTGGCCACCACTGCTCTCCAGGACCTCCCTCAGTGCCTCCAGCATTCTGCCAGGGACTGCCATCCATCCCACCCTCAGCTGGACACACTCACCAGCTTCCCAGGAAGGGAAGCAGGGTCAAGCACAGCCTGGAGCTAACTCATGTCTTTGTCTTTAGGCAGAAGCCAGTGGGTGAGACCCAAAATCAAATTGCTGTTCAAGAGACTTGCCAAGCTGAACGGCTTCACCAACAAGACGATCTGGATTTTACCCAGGCAGGGTGAGCACTGCCCAGGGCCAATACAGGGACATGCAGGCAGGGACCAGCTCAGCCCATCAGTGCCACCACTTTGTGGTCTGAGCTGGCAGGAGGGGGTGCTGGCAGCCAGCAGTGTTCTGGCTGGGCACACTGAGCAAGGAGAAACCCACAAGTTCCTTTTGAGTAGTCTATTTTGGGTGCTAAATGTGATTATTCAGACCACAGTGCCAGACTCAGGCTTTCTCTTTGTTTCCACAGAGGAATGCAGACTTGATGAATTGTAGGTGAGTTGTCACAGTGCAACATGGTATTTGCAATGTTCTCTCCTGGACATTTACTCTCTTGGTGCCCCCACGACAAGGGCCACCAAGAAGTCTTTGAATTTCTATGGGGTTGATCTGTTTGAACTGGTGCTGGAGCTTGCACACAGGTAGGACCATTCTTTTGGATACTGCTCTACAGTGGGGATCCCCAGGTAGCAGCATGCAGGGACTCCCAAGGAGCAGTGCCCAGAGACCCCCAGTGGAAAGTGCCTGGCACTGAATATGGGGGCTGAAACCACCAGAGAAATGTCTGTGCAGCCCTTTAAGCAGTGAGGACCAGGACACCAGCTCCTGCCAAAGGGGCCCTGGGCTTGTGGACTGGCAAACCTGGCCAGAGTGGGTTGGTGTCTCACTATGCAAAATATATTTGCTGTTGTCACCACCCTGGCCTGTGCTTTCCCACCACACAGCTGAAGACATTACTAGAAATCCATTGCTGGAGATGCCTCACCCTACAAATCTGGGGAGAACTGGAGAAGAATGCATTGATTCTAATGGAGAGTCACACTGGTCTCCTTGCCCCACCCAGCCCCCACCTCTCCAACCTCTTTTCCAGGAAGCGCAGACTGG